GAATTAAACTCTAAGATTGTGAGAATGCTAGGACCTTTCGCCATTAGATTAAGCAAAAAAATAAAACGAAAAACCTTATTGTTTTCAATAACCTACAGTTCGTGTGCTTACTGGAGTCCCTACCTGAAACTGTTCCATTGGATTGATGCTTGAGTGGTGGCATAGTATAATAAATGACCTGTTTAGGAGTTGTAACGATGGAAATGAGATGAAATTTATCAATCACACCCTATATCTTGTCCCGGTACTACAAACGAAGCAACTTTAGCGTTTTGCAAATAGGACTATAGTGTTCTGACAGGTATAACGAAAAGACAGACCCACTCAGATTTACTTGGAAGGACAAACTGTTTAACAAGAACTTTACTGGAAGATAACTTGGTTTTGTACCCCTCATATCAGGTAATTTTTTTAGTTAAAGCCTCCAGCTTCAGCTATGCAAGTTTCTGCGCTCACCTAAGACCGGAGTCTAGGTTAATCCTAATAGTATTGCAAGAGATTAGTTAATCAACTATGGAATTAGAAACGAAGGAATTGTAAATTGGATTAAGCAAGTTTCAAAAGTTTATTGGAAACTACTAGTTAGTAATGATGGTAATCTATGAGCTTGACGTGCAGATTCAAAAAGAAAAGAAAAACGGTTAAATGTACTACCTATTATACTGATCTGATGCAGTTCGGAAGTCTACAATCTAACACTGATATATACAAATGGATATAGAAAATTAGACAAGAAAATCCATCTAATGATGTAATGATTGCAATGCTGATGTTGATATTGATGAGGAAATTGAAGTAATTAACTTGGAATTAGAATATGAATTGATGCTACATTCTGACTATACTAAATTTTGCTTTCATCACCCCGAATCAGAAGATCTTGATAAGTGGGCTATTGAAAACTTGTTACTGTCACAATTTATACATATGAAAAAAAGGTTTATTTAGAATTGAATATTATAGCAGAAACAATTTAGAACTGTCTAAGATAAATGCATACACTCTTAGTAAGAAAAGAGAAAAACTACTTTAATTTAGATTCTTATTGTTACAATAAATGGTACAAAAAATGTGTCTCATCACTCCACATTTAAAATTATTAAGTAAATTTAAGTTTCATAATCACTTGAAATTTAGAAGAAATTAAAATAAAATAACAAACACTTCACTTTTAATTATTGATTTTTTCCAACTAAATTTTAGTTGATTCATTTTTGATACTAGATAAAAAGGTAATTCACTTGCTCTTAGTTCATATTTACTTAATCATAATTATGACTGCAATGCTGCTTTATGCTCCTTTAAACACATAGTAATTTTGAAAGCAGTTTCACAGTCATTGGCACCCTTTTCCTTTTTACAATCTTGAATAGCTTCATCGACTTCCGCTTGATGATCCTTAAGTTGTGGCCAGTTTTTGAGTGAGCGAGCAGCAGAAGCATCGTCGAATACGCCATTCTTCAGATGACCCATTTTCTCCATCATACATTTCATGTAGCATTTAATATTATCTTTGGCATCTGCTGATTTGGAGCCATTCGCGTAGAAAGCTTTAAGTTCATCTCTAGAAATTTTGGTCTCCTCCATGCATTTCATGATGTTCGCTTTGAAATCAGGGTTATCGCACTGTGTAAGATTTATTCAATATTTAAAATTATATGTTAGATAACTGATAATTTATATTTAATTAAAAAATTTTCCTATTTAATTTTAAATAGTAGAATAGCACATACCATCGTCAACGTGACGAGGGTGGTAAGTAAAGCAAATATTGCCACAACTCGCATTGTGTTAACTTGTAAATCTGTAATCCAACTGAAGTGAGGCTACATGGAAGATTAACTTTTATAGTAGGAAGTGTTTAATATTTTATAAAAGTTTTATCAATAAAAAAAAATCTCATCCAAAATGCTACTTTAATTTATATATACAAATTGTACTAGTAATTTGTTGTAGTCTAATAATCATCTTTTTTTTTTTTGTGCTCGACTAATGTACTGTTTGGTGACAAATTAGTATTTCACAATAATTTAGTTCAATTAATTTGCATAAAAATTAAATTGAATTATTGTGGTTTTTTATATACGAATATATTATTTTCTATTATTTAATTTTCACTGAATGCACACAATTTCGATAATTTGGCAAAAATTTTATTATAAAATTTTTCCCATTCTGGATAATCTGTTGTTCTGAATAATTACATTGTAATAACTCCTAAAACATTGTATAATAACATAATAATTATCACAAAAAAAAAAAATAATAATAATAGAATTGTATTTTAGCGACTAATTTGTTATTATTTAGTTAATATTATTCAATAAATAACACTTCGCAGATGTCATGACTTGTTGAAATTTATTTAAAAATTTATTCAAAAATATTTCTCTTATGAAAATATTTTTATATATAATATTAACAGCACGTGGAAATATTGTAGTAAATTAATAGAACGTGAATACTCGTTTTTGTTGTTAACATCATATAACCGTTGATTTATTTAGTTGATTTATTAAAGTAAACAGTTAACAGTAAACGAGTACTTTTCTAGAGCTGTGAACTTAATGTTATTAATATTAAATATAAATCCATGCATTTAACATCGCAGAGGAATTATATTACACATGGAATACTCTATTGGATTTCGTTAAATCGGCCGATGAATTTTCGTAGTCTTCTTATGGATTAAAAGGTTCAAGTAACTTCTCTTATAAAAGTTATATACACAACTTAAAAGGTGATTTAGACAGCTATAGTTAAGTGCCAGGGAGTTTTTATGGTTTCTGTGCAATAACCTTTTTAACATAATAATAATTCATTGCGCTAATGGCTAATATTTATATATATAAACTAAATAAAATCAAAACTAATTTTAGTGATAGACTAACAAAAATAACTAACTCATACGTATATTCAAAGGAGAATAAAAAATTTGAGAAACACATTTTAAGTTTTTGCGCCTAAAAGTAGATAATCTTCAAGCAGTTTTTGGTAGAGAACTTTTGAAAATGTTTCGTAAAAGCGAATGCTCTAATTCTTTTATATGTTTTCAGTACAAAATACTGAAATATTGTTTTCTTAATAGAGTCAAAAAAAAATAATTTATCAAATCTCAAATTAATTAAAACTCGTCAAGCTATCATACACTACCAAAAATTCAGATATCTTTCGACAACTGATATTAAAAGATATTTAATTTAAACCCACTTTTTTAGCGAATTTTTCGAAACTCTTTTTTTTTGTCAAAAATGGATGAGAAAAAATCAATGATACTACAGAGGTAAGGATTGCCGAATACTATTTTATTTTTAATTGTATTTTTAAAGTACTGCCATTTGTTTCAGAGAAGCTGCGTAACCTTGGACGAAATCTTACATATGTATGATATATAATCTTCTCTGAACGTATGGAAAGCTTCTCATATCATATCTTGAAGACAAAACTTTTACAAGCATTCGTAATTTAAATAATTCTTACTTAATTTAATTTTTCTATATTTCATTTGAGCAGTGTACACTCATTTAGTATCTGGATCAAAAACCTTAAGATGAAAACAACAATAACCAACAACATCAAAAGGGTTACAAATTTGACCTGTCAGGTTATTTAGGAAAATTTGAAGGAAAAGTTCCAAATTAAATTCTTTTGTTTAAAAAAAAACCGACATTAAGCTCATTTTGACAGATAAAGCTGTCAAATAGTAGCTAAAACCTAAGCAGATTATTGCAAAAACTTAATGGAACAGAGATCAGAGATCAACATACTCAACATTGCAGGTGAAATGGAATTAAGCAATTGCCATAGAGACAATTTTTTAACTTATTTATCTTTATATTGGGTTTTGATATTCAGACATCCTTTATTGCAAAAAGATATCCAACTCCATAATTTGAAAGCTATTATTAGCATTTCTGACCTACATATTTGAAATATGATATATGATATGAATGGAATTTCTCTCTTGCATGAAAAGTTTGGTTTTGGTTTATCTTGGATTCACATTTTACATGGTTACTTTTAATGGCATATGCCATTGAAATTATTGCTAAAGATTGCCGATGTGGGCGATATACCATATATATTAGCTGGTATAAATTTCTTCCAATATTGGAGTAATTTTAAACTAGGATATAAGATAGTTGAAAACTACTCGTATTTAGTTAAAACATGAATAAATTGATGAGATTTTGATATTGTAACTAATGTTTTGAAAGCTAGGAAAAGTAGAAATCACATAAATAATATATAATGAATTCTTAAAAGATTATTAAGGTTAACCTGTAAATTCAGAAATAAGTTATTGTAGTTTGACATTAGACACTACAAAGTTAACTTGCGAACAGTAAAAATAGATCAATTGTTACTTCTATGTGATAATATAGAAACCAAACTATACTTCTACAACATTTTTTCTGTACTTAATATTTGGAATATTCAAGTAGTTCTGAATGATGTGAAATCGGTTGAAAAAATCATTTTTCTGGTACCCCACTAATTAACGAAGCATCTTACTTTCTTTTTTTTGGAAATGTTGCTTGATTGAAAACCGGTCTTATCACAAGTCATCACTACGTATGTTGCTGTTGGTGTTGGGTACTCCCAACAATTAACGAAACACCCAATGTTTTTTTTTTTGTAAATTTTGATTCAGCACAATATGAAAAACCGATCCTATCATAAGTCATCTAGATTGTCTACTTCAGAACTCAAGTAAGGGACGCCGACATATCTTTTGTATTACTGTTCAGGCCCAACCAGATCTAGCTTATGTAAATGGGTACTACTTATTTCAACTCATTTTACAACATTTTCAACATAGAAATCATTTAAATATTTACATCTATCAATGCATCCGACTGGTTGTGAAAAGTCTAAACTCGAGGAATGTAAAACTAAAAAGATTTGCTAAGTATTTTGTTAATAATTCGACGTTATTCACTTCATCTAACGACACATAGTGTTGAAAAATCTTATAAAAACACTAATGTTATAAAATATTATGTTTCTCTATATTAAAGAAATTATATTGCAATAGTCATATCAAAAAAAATTTTAGTAATTTTTTATCGCTAGTTCATTTGTATTCACAGATCCATTCCCTTTTTAAACATGCATTGACCGATTTGGAAAGCAGTGTCACATTCATTACTGCCTTTCAATCCCTTGCATTCACTCATAAACTTATTCACTTCAGCTTCCTTGTTTTTCAATTCAGGGTGTTCAAGCAGAGCCTTGCGAGTCGCTTCTTCATTTAAGACACCGTTTTTAAATTGTCCTTGTTTCTCCATTAAGCATTTTGTGAAGCATTTAATTTCTGATGTGGCTTCTTCAGTTTTCATACCACCTTTCAGGAAAGCCTTTAATGTATCTATTTTAACATTGGACTCAGCCTGACAAGTATCGAATAATTTTTTCATTTCCTCAGTGGGATGGCACTGAAATAATTTTTCACAAATAAATATTATTAAATTATTTATATAGTTTATGTCCTTGAACTAACCAAACTGAGTTGTGTCACCAAAAGAAGAACTCCACAGACTGCTAAGTATCTGAACATTTTGCTTTGTCGGCACGTTTGAAATAATATTCTTTATTTAAGAATCAATGGTTTATATAGATTGGCGAGAGTTTTAAAAATAATGATTACATGTATATAATTACTTCAAATTATCTGAAATATTCTATAACCTACACACTATAATTTCAGTTCATTATTGAATTAATTTATTGCACATCAATTATTCGGGTATGTACAGATGAGTATCATTTGTTTGATTAGGTAACTAATTAAATGTAATTCATGTTTTTATAAATATAACAATAATATAACAATAATTAAACAAAAATATATTTAGACACATGAGTTTTGCAACCAATGACATTTCTAAATTTTCGATTTAATTCCTACCTAAGTATCAGTAAAATAGATTTATTTTTTAATTCTATATAATAATGTATCACTCTTTGATTATATCAAATAATATACATTATATGGTAGGTGAAATTACGTTATTTAATAATATTTTGTATTTTAATTCATATTTATATCGGAAACTTTATTTATTGTGTGAGTTAGTGCAGTTTGCAGTACGTGTTATTAATGATTCTTTTATATAATGACAATATTGTTATCTACAAAAAGATATATGCATATCGGGTGTAATTTCAATATTCACACCCCAAATGTGTTCCCAGCCCAATAATATTATTTCATTATTAAATGTCTCTTTGCGATCTCCTATGGCCTGTATTCATAGTTTAGATTGCGAAAATTTGAAGAATAATTCTAAATATAACTTAAGTTAGATCAGATTGCAGTGGTAACACAGCTCACTTAAGCACAAATAATAGCCCTTTGTGATAACACGGAGGAAAAATATTAATACATATAAAACTAATAATATTTGTGATTCTGAAGAATTTTCATACACAAAAGCTTGAATTCACATTACTTATTTCAGTTATAATTCTCATTTTGTTTAATTAAGGCTTAAATTCTGCAATTTTTCATAGTACAAATTTTACCCCTACCCCCCGCATTCTCTCTGCCAACCTCGACCAAGTCCTGCTCTTTAAACCCACTCAATACTTCACGCTATATTTCAATGAGCGGAGTTCAGATAACCGCATCGTCCCACTGTACAACCGTGGCTCTCGTGATCCCGGCCTCAGAGTCTACCACTAGTTCATCTCTGCGCTCGTCAATAACCCCGCCCCCTTCCCGCCGCGCTTATACCTTCTGGCTTAGATAAACCTAGTCCACTAGGTATTAAGCCTTTTGCTCACATTTATCTCCGTTAATTATTGGAATGAATTATTAATCTTGCTCTGGATATTTTCTCCATTTAAGACGTGGTTTTAGTTGGCTTAAATCTCACAGTGTGGGTTTTGATGCTTTCCACCTTTGCAAAAAAAAGTATAAATATTACTATTAAATGTTGCTATATTTTACACATTGTCGGGTTCCTTCTGACATTCACCAGGTCGACCACCTTCCAACCATGCTGCTTAAAACCCACCAATTACTCTTGAAGAAGCACTTGCTCTCCCACCACACATTTAGCTCTAAAATCGGGGTCACTAAGATCCCGAGCGTAGAGTTTACACCTAGTTAGACTCCTCGAAAGTTATTCCAACCCCACTTTTTTCATACACAAACATATTTTTCTCCAAATGAGTACGACCATCCTTGGTGGTTTTGCTAAATATTAAGCCTATCTGCTTTCTTCTCCGCCCTTCATTGCTGAAAAGGGGTTGCATTTGCTGATCGCGACTGTATTCGTCTATTGTTATTCGATACAAAAATGAACATCAAACTAGGATGCGTAATGTTTACAGTGTCAATATAAGTCCATAATCATCGAAGATACTATTTAAACTGTCTATGAACTCATTAAAGATCACTTGAAATCTTCACTGAAATTTATGGAATGGGATACAAGCATATGAAATATATCAATTTCTCGATTTTTAACTGAATATCTGGACGCCTTGCAACTTCGTGGTAGATAGTAGAGCACCTACTATGTGCTCCAAAGTAAACAGATTTTGTTTAAAATAGGAGTATGTAGTAAAGCTATCAACTGCTGGCTCACATCAGCAGGTTTTTTTTATAAAATTCATGCAAATTGGAAAAAAAAAATTCTTTTGATATAAATACATTTGTGCATTTATTTGGTAATATACACTTGAATAACAAATACTCGTCTGCATGTACTCCAAAATATATGAATGCAATATTATACATATAATATATTATATTAATATTTTTTCTAGGAAACTCTTATTCAGTGAAACCATGTTCAGTAATACAAGTTGCAATTTTGTGAGCCGTGTCACAATCATTAGCTCCCTTCAGATTATTACATTCCTTAATAGCCTTATCAATATCTACTGCACGATCTTTATATGTTGGTACTGATTTTAACAAGGCTGCATATTCCTGAGCAATAAATTGTCCATTTTTGAAAGCTCCATGTTTTTCCATAACACATTTGATGAAGCACTTAACTTCATTTGTTGCGAGTTGCTCCTTCATACCACTATTGACGAAGGCTGTCATTTGATCTTTCGTAACACTGGATTCGGTATAGCATTCTTTATAGATCTTGTCCAGATTATCATCACTCTATTTATTTTTTATATAGATATTTAGTTTAGGATATAAGCTGAAGTATTAAATTAATTGACACTTACTATAACTGAAGCTATCAAAACCACAATGGCGGTATAGAATAATTTGACTTTCATACTCGCGACCATTTTCGTCTGTTTGTTTG